AAGATGGGTCATTAGAATTGTAAATTTTAGATAACAAATTTCCTCTAAAGAGTTAGAAACTAAAATAAGATTAACTAAGCAGGTTGAGTGAGGTAAACTAATTGACAGCTAAAATTAAAACTGAACAAAAGTCAAGTTAACAACAGTGGCGATAAGGGGTAGAGATTTAATAAGGTGTGTGTGAAGAAAATATTATACAATTAAGAACCACGGTGGGTGCGTACTGATGAAGAGTCCCAAACTAGGCTGACGAAACAGCTGTCCAGTACTCCCAGGTTTTCCAGTGGTTCTCTAACTGATTTCAGCTCATGATGAAATCCTTGATTCAATTAAGAAACAAACAAACAAGAAAAAGATGGAACAAAAATTGATTATTTGGTGTTAAGATAGGTCAGGTCTACCGTAGATTTAATGACGGAACAAACTTTTTCTCTTGTATGAAGAGTTCAGGCTTTAATATGTGAATTGCCACTGCTTCTGAGGTTTTAACAAGGTTTTTTCTTACTCTCTTAACAAGATCCCCATATATTCTGTAGATGACACTTCAATTACTTTGTGGATTTGCTTGGTGTCCTGATTCAATCAGGAATAGAGCTTCTGGGGGGACCTTTTTTCTGCCTTATATTGGCTTTTGACCCGATTAACGCTTCCTACATTATGTAATTTGTCATCAAAAATTTGTAATTCTAATGACGAATCTTTGAAAATGTTCATTTTGTTTCTAAGAAAAAAATCAATTTTTACTTTTGCTAAGCTCAGAAGTCAACGATATCACTACTAGTTCATTCACATCAAATTATTTCAATCCTAAGAAACATCTCCAACAAATTGTCATTTCAAAAAAATATATGAATGTATCAATGATTTCAGGATTTCATCATGAACTGACATCGGTTAGAGAACCACTGGAAAACCTGGGAGTACTGACAGACAACTGTTCCGTCCTAGTTTGGGACTCTTCATCTTTGCGCACCCACAGCCAGGATTTGAACCTAGAACCTTCTGGTTACATGGCAAGCGAGCTCGTAGACACTTAAGTATCTCTGCTTCAAGGATATACCCAGCGTTCAATACCAACTTATTCGAGCTTATTCAGCTATTGTTTTTTTAGTGGACTTCAAAATATTTCTGATGAGCCTAAAAGTACTGTCATTTCAAGTTATCTGTGAATTACGAAATTCTCATTCTCCATTTCTGGTTGGTAAATAAATAACAGCAACCCTAATATAAGGATAGAATTTAGGCACTGTAGTACAATGCGCTGAACAGTGTTCAGCTATGTTTGACCTCAAATATGTCCAAATTTCAAAAATAAAATATAAAAATAAACAAATTAGGTAGCAGTGGGATCACCACAATTCCTGGTAATAGCAGACATATATATATAGAGAGAGAATGCTGGGGAAGAAATATTTTTAGAACATTTAATTCTGCTACCAAATTATGGTGGAGATATGTAAGTGACACATTCACTGTGTTGAAACTTTAATATACCCTTCAGTTTTTCGTACATACAAACTCAGTAGTTGACGGAATTCAGTTCACTTCTGAGTTAGAAAACAAATAGGGTGAGTTGACCATGCTAGGTTGTAAAATCAGATGAATACAAGATAGGGGATTTATGCGAAACCGACACACTGTAATAAATACTTGGACTTTAATTCATTCGATCCAGAATCTGTAAAGATAGGTTTAGTTAGATGTCTGTATAATCGAACCAAGAGCCTAACTGGTAGGCCAGAAGGTTTAAATACTGAAATCAGACGAATAAGGAGAATATTACAAGTGAATAAATACCCACCAAAATGTAGGAAGATCCATGAAAAAAAAAAAACTCACTCAGAGACAGAATTCGTCTCCTTAGGTAGTCGATATCATGTAATGCTGGTGAGGTTAATTACACAGGTCAGACTAGTAGAGGTGAGGTTAGTTATTAGAACGTAGGAATTTAGATTCAGATTTTTTGGTTGGGGATACAAGGCTTGAGGCTGAATGTCAATACTTTTCTAGACGATTTCTGTGCTTGACCAAACCCTTCTTGAATGAGTCAGTTAAGGGCGCTGATACCACTTCTTCTGGGAGTCGCTTACAGGAGTTATGTCTCAGTGTGAGAACCAGTACTTCACAGAAATATGGTTTCTCCTTGGATTTTGAACTCTCCTATTATGCCTCCAAGGTGTTCCGACTTGGTGCAATGGGAAAGAGAGTATAGATCAGGTTGAGCTTTTTTATTCCTTTGCGTTCCCAGTGGAACACAAAGCTTCAAGAATTAGGCCTGTAGTTTCATTAGCAGTGGTATTTATTTTCACGCTGTGGGGTTGCTAGCCTCATGCCAAACCTTCCCTCTTTATCAGTCTTATTACTGTCTTAGCGAGGTAAAGGAGTGCGTTGGCTGGGGATCGAACCCAGGACCACACGCTTGGTTGGCGTGTGTATTATATCGAATAAAATTATCTACTATGAAACGACTAACCTACTTAATGACTAATCATGAGTAGAACTACATAGAAAATGTTACATGTTTCAAGGGAAATGTTCCAGGTTCCGTTCATTATGGCCCCTTATAGATAGATATGGGAAACACTTGCAACTTCTTAATGAAGGGAGCTTGATACAAGACTCCAATTCAAAAGATTAAAACCTTTAAAAACCAGCAAAATAACCGGTGTTTGACATAATCATTTTTTCTGGATGCAATATTCTTACAAACCTCAGTAAGCACATAATGACAAAAAACAACGATATACCAAAATGCTAATTTAGCCTTCGTGTGTCATCGATAGTTTGAATTTCTTCTATCATGATATGATTACCTTTCTGGCAGCAGTTACTTTTACCTTCTTAGACACTTCTAGATAACTGGAATAGCAAACGGAACATTAATTAGTTGCAAAGTTGTTTCCGTAATTATCTGGAACTATTTGTGCACTACAGGTCAACGCAGCTTGCCGAGGAGTGATTCATTTCGAAAGCTGATAACAGCGTTATTATGATTTAATATTATTTCTTTAGGTTTGGAGTGGAACACAGGAAATCACTGGCACATCATCAATTCACTCTCTTCTCTAAAGTTCTCTTTAGTTGCCTCCATGGTTGCCTACGTGCTGTCATCTTTTCCTCATCCTGTATACTTCATGTCACCTTCAGACCGGTTTGGGTTACACTTGAGACAGAAATGCTGCTTATGACACGCCTGACAAGTTTATGTAACATATTGGAGCATTCACCTGAAATAAGTATTGGAAATCGGAATCTTGTTCTTTAAGATAAGTGTAGCAGATTTGCAAACTGAAGGTCTGTCTTTCCCTTGGTGGCCTTAACACTCTAATCCGAGCCCCCTGTATCTGGGACGACACTGCCGTGATAAGTGAGATAGGTGAATTCCTTCAAATTGCTTCTGTTGATAGAGACTGCTGCTTGTTATTGTTGGTCGGTTATCTCCATCACATGCATCTTCTCCAAGTTCACTTGAAGTCCAGTCTTCGGCGCCTTTACCGCCAAATTGTTGATTTTAGTCTGGATATCTTTGAGTTTCTGTGATAACATGTAGCATTCCATTTCAGATTTGTAATGCAGAAATACCAGTCAAAAGTATAATGACTTCATTAGTTTTTTTATCGGTTATGTTAGTTTTATTAATTTTGAGATTTTTTTGGCATGCATTTGTGAACTTCACCGGCTGAAGACTAAATATGGGCTATCCAAATCACAATTACCTATTATAAGAACAATTCACTTTATCAAATTAGAAATATTTTCCTAATTCAGTAAAATATGCAGCATTTTCGCCAAGTAGACACGTGTATGAACGAAAACACCTGGCGTGTTTTTTCCTATACGTTCCCAGTGGAACACAGGGCTTCAAGCTAGAAGCTTGAAGTTTCTGTAGCAGTGGTGTTTATTTTTACGCTGTGAGGTTGCAAGCATCATGCCCAGCCTTACATCTTTATCAGTCTTATTACTTGCTTAGCGAGGTAAAGGAGTGCGTTGGCTGGGGATTGAACCCCTGACCACATGCATGGTTGGCTAGTATTCAATCGCTGTGCCACCGACACACATCCAGGGTATATCCACCACTAGTAATCATGAAGCTTTATTTCAGACAGTGTGTAAACGTATACTACAGAATTTCTCAGTGTATCAAGCTTCAAAATATTTCCTCTTCATACAGGATTTTCACGTAAAGTAAATATCATGTGTTGTGCGTCGGTGGCACAGCGGTAGAATGCTCACCAACCACGCAGGTAGCCCGGCTTTTGATCCCTAGCCGACGCACTCCTTCACCTCGCTAAGCCAGAAGTAAGACTGGTAAAGAGTGAAGGCTGGGCATGAGGCTAGCAACCCTAATCCGTAAAAATAATCGCCACTGCTACAGAAAATTCAAGCCTACAGCTTGAAGCCCTGTGTTCCCCTGGGAACAAAAAAAATATCATGTGGTGTAGTGTTGGTGCGTATGAATAGAGAAACAATTCTATAAATTTTTTCTCCATTTCTTTCAAGAATTGCAAATCATTTACTTGGAAGCCAACTAAATATGAGCACGAGTTCATGTAGTAATGATCTGATATAACTGCACGATTGAAACAATAAGAAATACAGAAGAGGAGTTTAAACAGCATTTTGATGGATGGAAGTCCTGGTAGCACACTGATTTAAGCAGGCCGCCTTGACTGCCTTTAAACAAAAACAGATGCCAACTGGAATATTCACAAAAATCAAAAAGTGCTGCTGAATAAGCAGCATACATATCTTATAACAACTAACATTCTTAATTGTCATACAGAATGAGGCGACACATATTCCTGCATAAACAAATGATATAGGATTTTATACTTTCACGTGTTGCTTACAACTGAACATCAGTTTTCATTGAACAGGAAGTAAACACTTTTGTTTAGGAAGTACATCGAATGATAAGGAGAGATATACTTTATACTTTTTATCGTGTTTCCTTTCCAGCTGCTCAATACCTCTCTCCTTTCTCCCTCTTTTCTGTTAAGGCAATACCGAATGAAGACCTAGAAGTTATGAAAAAGGAGTTTATGGAGGCATTCGATGAAAATTCGGATAATCGAATTGAACTAACTGAAGTAAGTTACGGCGACATGTTGATTCTGTGGCATTCTTCCCCTGTATTTTATCTATGCAACAATGAAATGTGTTCAGAAAATTTTTAATGTGAAATCTGGAATATTGTACTTAAAAAGTTACCACTCAGCTACATGTGTTTTTGCGTCAATCAGATTTTTGATGATGCTTATTTAATCATGTAGGTATGCTTTAACCCTGAAATGAAATTTAACTACTCGAAGTCAGTGAACATATTGTAATTCAGTTGATTTTGTGTTTCTGCTAAACAGGAAATGTCAAATTTATCTTTTTCATAAAACACTTAGGAGTGTTATGCCTCCGATGTAGGCAAACTTCATGTTTTCCCAACATTGGTATAGCTGATCAGTTGAAAGTTGACTTCAGCAATATGCAGATATGCAAATATTTTAATTTGAGCATTACTACCATAAGATTCTCCATATTGTTTGTGAAACTCAGGAAACTAGTAGCATGTTTAGTTTTATTTACTCACAAGTTGGCAAGAAAAACAACGAAAAATTGAAATATGAGGAATATTTTCTGTCCTTTTTGAGTCCCTTGAACTATCCTCTAATGAACTGTTCTTCAGCTGTTAGCTGTTTCAGCTAATTCAATCCAAGATAAGACGATACTACATACAACTGAATGATACGAAAAGCTGGATAACACTCTCACCAAACAGTATTGCTTGCTAGGTTAACGGAAGTTACACAATTTTTATGCATGAATTACCCAAATCAAGACCTGAAATCGCCTGACTTGGCCCTCTGAGCTGAGTAAAACCGGCTACATCACCGGTGAGCTAGTTTCGAAGCAGTGCTTTTAGGTCACTTTGAACTAGCTAGCGATCACTAATGGTCAGCGTAATTGGTCATCAGTCACTCACATTACGCAATCAATAGTAGGTAGGGCACTCTATTTTGTTTTCTTTCTTCGTGAAGATCACATACTGTGATATGCATATTTTTGGTTACCAAAGAAACCGCATGGATTTCTCACCTCCATCTATTTAGCTTACAAATGATATGATATCTCGTATCTTACCCATTCTACTTTACTGTGCTCCCCAGTAGTCTTTCCTGGGCTACTGAAAAAGGACTATACCATCCTGAGAAGGATGTTGAAGGTAGTTAGTAGGACTAGTGGTGTAAAACTCAGTCAGCTTGTCACTACATTAGTTGAAAGGCATCTGAAAACATGCGAAAAATGGTCTAAAACCATACTCTCCAACTCCCAATACCCCCTCTATTCCCAACACTCGCCTTGTATCTCATCAAGTAGAACCAGAAATCAGTACAAAATAATATATGCTCATACAACCAAGTACAGGAACTCAACGATACCATACTTGGCCCGTGTTCTAAGTGACAGAGACAATGTTAAGCGCGAAACCTATGACTTGCTTTGTTGTTAATAATCATAATTTTAGGCTCTTTTATTTCTCTCTTATTTTGTATTCTTTAGTGAACTCCTTCTTAAACATACTTAGCTACCTAAATTATTAACATTGGATTACTTTTTTATAATTTACTCTTTTCCCTTTTTTGTGTATCCACTGGTTCCGACTATATTAGCACTATGAGTAGTACAAAGTTTTCCTGTCATTAACCATCATGGAATTATTGGTTTTTGTGGTTGTTTTTTTTGTTCGGCAATATTAACTGACAATCTTGGTTGTGAACGCCATTATCACCATTTTAAAATTTTGTATTATGCAGGATTACTCACACTACCACCACAAATACTGCATTAGAGCTGTCAATAAAAAACCCTGAAATGTTATTTTATGATTGTTTAGAGTTGTTTCAATCAAATTAACTGATCTTCTTGGCGATAAACATTCTTAAATATCATTTCATAACTTCGTGTATGACTACAGCTTTACTATCACCATGCATAATCATATCATAGCTTCCACTACGCAATACTGAGATATTACTACGTATTATTATATATATATATAACATTTATTATTATATACAATACTTATTATTATTATTATATTATATGCTGTTTATTTTCCTTTCTACTTCTTGGTATTTTTTCGCATTTTTTAATTTTCTTTTGTGTTTTCTGTGTTTTTTTTACTGTTGTTGTCTTTACATTTATTTTTTTGAAATAATCCTTTTAAACGTTGGATAAAATTAGATGCAAATATTGTAGATATGTGCTGAAAATTCCACACTGTACCACTAGTACCGTTTCTGGAATAAAGCAAATTATTATTATCGACTTAATTTATCTCAAGCTGACCTTCCACACAAAACATTTACAACTTGCTGCAAACTTTTATCAGTACTCAAGATTGGATGAACAGAAAGGATAATCAGAAAGAAACATCGTCAACCAGCTAAGAACCAATCACCCAACAAATACGCTGAGGAAATGGAGTTGGACTGGACATACACTGAAGAGATCGCTGGATGATATTGTGCACCAGTTCCCTGAGTAGAACCCGGATGGGAAAGAGAGGGTGAGGCTTGGTCTGAGAGTGTAATAGAGGAAATTGTATGATGAGTTTGGGTAATAGTGCAGCCAGCTAAAGAACAGAGCGAAATAAAGATGTGCTCTTAGAACCCTATGTTGCAGTCGAAGTTCAGAGGAAAAATAGTATGTTTCCTTAAAGCAGCCTAATGAATACGACGTAAATTACTGATCGACATGAATAGTAGGAGCGCCATAACAGTGTGTAATACTGCATCCTGCTTGAAGTAAGATGGCCTAAACATAAGGCTGTAATTTCGCTTATACACTGCTGACTTTATTTCGTATATAAGGAGATCTACAATTCATTCTCATGGAGTTGAAACTTCTAGCCCCATCCTGAGAACTACTTGCTCAGTTATTCGGTAGATGGTGACCAACAGTGGAATACAGGACACGCATTCTGTCCTATTCGAGACGGGTCATCTGGATGTAATTCCATTCCGCAATGACTGATAGTGCTCCCACGGAGGCTCGAACGCAGTGCCCATAATCAAAAATACCCGTTGCATAAGAGGTGATGGCTGTCGTCGCCCACGTCCTTTAATTTAAAAGTTTAAAAACACCACTAACGACTTTTAATCTAACAATCATAATCAGGTACTCTATGCGAACGTGTGCATTTTAAGATGACGTTTTAGTCTTAAATTCATTGTACACAAATAGTCAAGGTGGTGGACTTCAGTTGGAAATCGTATTAGCATCATTCACAGAACACCACTAATAATAATAATAACCGCAACGCTTTTGCCATGACACATTATTCCTGGTGTAAAATGGTAGAAATTGCATTTATATTAACTGTCTAATTAAATATTCTGAAGTTTTAGAAAATTCCCCAGTCGACAGCGTTTTTGTCTAATCCCGAGGGATATTTTGAGGCGCAACTGAGACTGTCGTCCACTTTACTCATTGTTAGCGATGGGCATTCAATATGTTCAACTGACGCACTTTTGTTAAACTGATTACAATAAAACAAAATATTTGAAATCAATATATATATATATACATATATGTATAAATATGTGTTACCATATTTGCATATTATTCAAACGGAAGAGTTGGCGGATAAAATACTGAATTTAAAACCCTCCAGCTTATTATTTTGTTATTGGTTCCGTTTACTCTTTTTGTTTTTGATTGTACAGATGGCGAAAATATTACCAACTGAAGAAAATTTTTTACTTCTATTCCACCGGGATAATCCTTTAGACTCAAGTGTTGAGTTCATGAGAGTAAGTCCAACGCTTCACAGATGTTAGTAGATAATGTCTTCTAATGCAAAATGTCCTTTTTCACTTTCATCAAACACCATTTTACCGATTTATTTTATATCATATTAAGCGGCAGAAAATATCAGTCATCTGCGCAACATTCATATGATCGTGAAGATTTACCACTGACGCTAGGAGTGCCAAAATTATCATTATTATTATGAAATCTTTATCTTATGTTTCAGCCACCATTCATCTAGTACTCTTGCTTAGTCTTCTCAGTTGTTCCCATGGATAATGGAAAAGAAAGCAAAATTAGACAGAGCAGACAAGCGAATCACTTAGAACTATGCACTGTTGACTGATTGGGATGGATAGTTATATATTACTAACATCAACCAGTAGGACCTACCAGCCAGGTAAAAGAAGTGATCTGAACACCGGACTGCCGTTTCTCTCGTTAGCGTTGTGCTTCATTAGACTGAACTCAAACAGCCAAATTAGTTCGAACCATTGGACATCTGGCTAACTACTCGAGTGAATCGGTAGTCCAACAAATTGAATTATCAATTCGCAAATCTCACCACCGTCTAGGGTACACCGCTGATGAGATCAGCTCCATACGGGTTAAAAGGCCTTTCGGTGTTTAAATCCCTTCGATATGGTTGGCCAGCAAGTGATACTAGCTGATGTGAGCGATATACAGCTATTCATCAGAACCGAGCCAGCAGTACATAGTTTATAATAATAGGCTCGCTCTCCTGATTGCCATTTACGGTATGAATATGAAAGTATATACATATATATATATATATATATATATATATATATATATATAGTATCTCTGAAACTATAGCTATAATACTGAGACCATTTGAAATAGATATAGCATACAAACCAGCTCAATCACTTCATCAGATATTATGCGAACCGAAAGATCCAAAAGAAAAAGAAGATAAAATTAATACCATTGAATGAATCGTAACAGACATTACATAGGCCATAGTGGGCGTCCCCTTCGAATCATAATCGAAGAACACAAATTAGCCGTAAAAAGGTATGATATATATTCTTTCATATCAATGCATGTGGATAATTATGGACATCAGTTTGATTGGGATAATGTGGAAATTTTAAACAGAGGAAACATCAAAAGTGCCAGAGAATTCCTAGAAGCCTGGTACTCAAGCAAATATGCGATTAACAAACATGCTAACATAGACCAAGTCTACCAACTAATAAAAAGTAAACCAATAAGTGACAAGAAACTTCAAAATCCAACTCCATAAAGATGTAAATCGACTACCAGTCACAAAGATGGTCGTCAGGATACACAATTCTACCATTTATGGAGAATTCAAATGAGCTCATTTTATGTTAAAACTTGCGCTGAAGATGTTGTCCAGAAGACGGACGATGAAAGCTTCACAATTAAACCAACCAGCTTAGAGAACACAACTAATTCCAAATCACCCACCTGAGCTGCAAATCGTCTCTATTATTTCGAGAAATATTGTTGATATTCTCCAGTTCAGCTTTACACACACACAACCACCATTCACCTGAACCTTCTCGATGCATTTCCAATTAAACAATCTGCAGTTGGGTAGTGTTAACATCCTTATTTATTTGCTGTCGCCTATTTTGTTTTGTTATTGTGACGTCACATAACTTTACTCGACTTATACTAACGAAATTACAAAAAAAATAAAATTCTCAGTCCTTTAAAGAATTCTGAATGCCTAAAGTACATTCGATTCATATAACCCTAAGCTTTTCATAAGTTATGTACTTGAACAGACGAGGATTTCTAAAGTAGATTAATCATAAGAAGCATTAAGGAGAGAAAAAAGAGCCAAAACAAATGTCTACCTTAGCGAAAAAACCAGTAAACATTTTTTTAAAATATGCATCAGGAAATCAAATTCTATGTATTCGTTTTTACATTTGAATACTACTTAAATTGATTGAGCATTCACGTAGGTAGACACAAGACAGAAAAATGAATACGTTCAAAACAATGCACTCAGTGTAATTAACAATAATAAAATCACTCCCGTCAGAAAGTGTTTTTTGCCTATTCAGAAGGGAAATGTGTAGGTGAATAATTCAATTTTCAACAAAAAGCAACATTCAGAAACGAAGTTGTGTTAAACCTGTTTTCATAATATCGTGATTGCACCAATTCACATGCATAAGCTCACCACTCACAAACCTGAGACACTTACACACACGCGAAGGCAAATCATGCTAAATAAATATTTCTCATTACATCAGAGACAAAAGGGATAATAAGTTTTCCGTTTTAATTAAAAGCAGGAATGCTTAGCAGTCGGATTCTACTGAGTTTATCGTTCCAATTATTCAAGTTAGACCACAGATTGATGCCAGTTGGAGAAACAGTGATAACCAAGGAGCACTGGACAGCTTCCTAATCATAGTCTGGAGATCTTCAGTGGACACACTCACTGAGATTCAAACCCAGGACCTTCCAGTTACAAGGCAAGCCCGTAGACCATTCAGCGACTGTGATCAGACTCAATGGCCTATGTATTCTAGCCCGACCACCAACCAATGTCATCGGCGAGTATTTGTCCTCTCATCCGACCTGGTGGCCCCCACTGGCCATGGCTTCCCACTGGAATACCGGGCAACTTCGTCATTTAGCTGGTTACGGACAACAGTATTAATGACAATGGAGCAAAAATGTCCCAGATATAATTTCAATAGATTCCAAGCATCTACATATGAACTGTGACTGTAAGAACTTGAGAAGGTGATAACAGTGTTGATGGATTAGTGCTTTGCCCAGCTAAATCGTGGTTTTTCTACATGTTTTGACGTTTCTATAAATCGTGTTGCTTTGTGATCAACCCTGACACCTGACTCACAAGTTTAATTAACAAAGATGTCGAACTTTTTGAGAGGTCAAAGCATCTGTACATTTATCAATAAATTGCATATAGTCAGAAATACTCACAGCCGCTAAGCAACAATGTAAAATATGCCATTATTCACGATGAGCTGATGCTGTACAAAGCATAAACGGTTTGGGCTTATTTCTTCATTCCAGTTACCTAAAATGAAAGTGAAATAATTTGTCTTTATGTTCATTATAATCATCAAGAGATATTCAACTGGAGTTCCAATCTTCCAATGCCACATCTATAATTCTTCGCCCCTGACGGGCGAGTGTAAAGAACAGATATCACAGCCAAATGACGTTGATCTAACCAATTGGATCGCTCAATATCACAGATGAATGCTTGTCGCAATCTCCGTTGCAAGTTCCACCCTGAAACATAGCTAGGGTTAGGGTAAGATTAAGATAGGGTTGTGATTAAATTTAGGGTGAAACTTGCAACGACATTTACAGTTAGAGTGAGACTTGCAACGATGATTACGGGGAGGCATTCATTTGAATTGTTAAGCAGTGTGACTATCGTTGCTGGGTTATATTCATCACAGAGTCAATCATTCATCAGAATTAGTGTGTCGTATAACTGGTACTCGTACGGCTTCTTGTTTGTTTACTATAGCCACTCGTATGGAAAACTGAGACCCCTTTTTGCGGCATATTAGAGTGTCATTTCTTCAACATTTATTCTAGTGGTTTACAGGGTTTAATGCCAGAGGAGCAATTATACACTATTTATTCGTATAGGCGATAAAATGTTATCAATTGCTGCACAGATTTCACACAGTTACTCCAAATTATTTTACTCATAGCGTTTTTTAAAATTTTATGTTATGTACAAATGTCCAAAAAGTGCGTTAAGATAATGTTATTAGGCTTTATCAAGAAAGAGTACTGATTTTTGATTGGATGCTAGTAACTAGTGGGACGTGTCTAGTCCTCTCTTTCGTCGAGACTGAATTCTATCAGTCAGCTTTGCAACGTGCCCACCATTCTAGGTAGCTCGCCATCATGGTGCACATTGACTTGATAATACTAGATAGTTGGAGGCAATCGGCAGGAAACCCTACCTAGACCTAGGTTCCGTGCTTGTCGGCACTCACCAATCACCAAGGCGTATCTGCGACCTTGGAGGAACTCATGTCCCTTCTGAGATTCAAACCGGCGTCATCCAATGGCGCAGTCAGAGACGTTACCACTGAGCTATTCGGGATCGCGACTGACCTCCTGTAGGACTGTAGTGGCTTCTTTGATCGGACACTAGTTCGAATCTCAGAAGGGACATGAGTTCCTTGAAGGTTGCAGATACGCCTTGCCAACTAGCACGAAACCTAGGTCCAAGGCTTCCTGCTGATTACCTCTAACTATCTAATATCACCAAATAGGACTGATATCAATCGATGATCAAACTTGAAACCGACCAAATCGCCAAAAACTAACACCTTAAAATGAATATAGTGCGCACTAGTGGCTGGCTACAGGACAAAGTAGCCTGCTGTTGTAGTCAAAATTAGTGACCAGTTGGTTTTAAGGACGAATACTGCCAGAAGACATCAACTCGAACTAAAAATCGCGAATTAGTAGAAGTTTCAATACATCAGCCCACCACTGGATTCAGTCGCAGTGACCCAATGGTCAGTGAGCTCACCTTGTAACCTGAAGATTCTGACTTTGATGCCTGGTGGCGTCAAGGATGCATACTGATGAAGAATCTCAAATAAGCACGATGCATCTGTCCAGTGCTCCCTGGTTTACAATGATACCCTGAGTGATATCAGTCCATGATTTTATTTGAAATTAAAAGGCAATAAATGGCCTTAAATGATAACTGGACGAGGATGGATACCTAGGTGCTTTCATTCGGACTCATAAGGTATCTCTCTGCGAAATAAGGCAGCCTGATGTAAACTAAACTATTAAATGAAGTAAAATAAAAAACTCACTTTCCTACTCTTTTGACAGAATCCCAAACTAAGAAAATTAAGTTAAAATTCGCAAGCAAAATTTGGTCGAACGCAATAAAATTCATTAAATTATCTATTATAATAGGGTTTTTAATATGCATTAAAATGTTTGATATCAAATAAAACAATAGGACGTAATT